GGTGCAGGCTATACATGCCTGTGCTATTAAGTTCCCTGAGGTGGCAAGCACCGTTGTGCACGTGTTGATGGATTTCTTGGGAGATACCAATGTGGCTTCAGCCATGGATGTGGTTGTTTTTGTGCGTGAGATCATTGAGACAAACCCCAAATTACGTGTTTCTATTGTCACCAGGCTTTTGGATACTTTCTACCAAATCCGTGCTGCAAGGGTTTGTTCATGTGCGTTATGGATAATTGGTGAATATTGCCTATCACTTGCAGAAGTTGAGAGCGGAATTGCAACAATTAAACAGTGTGTGGGGGACCTCCCATTTTATACTCTTAATGAGGAAGGGGAGGGCGAAGACACATCTAAAAGCGCACCACTGGTAAGCTTAACCAATGTGAGCTCTAGGAGGCCTGCCGTCCTTGCAGATGGGACCTATGCTACACAAAGTGCAGCTGTGGAAACTGCATTGTTGCCTCCTACCCTTGTACAGGGATTGCAGTCTTCTACTGGAAATCTGAGATCACTGATCCTCTCAGGTGATTTCTTTCTTGGGGCAGTAATCGCATGTACACTGACTAAACTCATCTTGAGGTTAGAAGAGGTTCAAACATCAAAAGTTGAAGTTAACAAAGCAACTACGCAGGCCTTGTTGATCATGGTCTCTATTCTGCAGCTGGGTCAATCTTCAGTTCTTCCGCATCCAATTGATAATGATTCTCATGATAGGATTGTCCTTTGCATTAGATTGTTGTGCAACACAGGTGATGAAATAAGAAAGATCTGGTTGCAATCCTGTAGACAGAGCTTTGTGAAAATGCTTTCAGATAAGCAGTGCCGTGAAACAGAGGAGATTAAAGCTAAGGCTCAAATATCCAATGCACAACCTGATGATCTTATTGACTTTTACCATTTGAAGAGCAGAAAGGTATCTTGGTACTTTGTAGTATTGATCTCCTTTTAAAGTGTGTATAAATGAGTTAATCTTTCGGACTCCATTTCTGATGGTTTCCTCATAATAACATGTTAACTTTGACATGTTAGTGCTGATATGGGGTCATGGTATGTTATGCCTTGATGTTTTAGATAATGCAATCGACCTTGTATTTTAAGTTCCTGACTTTGGCTTCTGCCTGGAGTAATTACTACATGTTTCTACATGATATTTTAACTGATTTTGAATCAGCAACTGTCATTCGCTCATTGCTCTATATCTTTTTATTAGGGTATGAGTCAGCTTGAGCTAGAAGATGAGGTTCAAGATGATCTCAAACGTGCTACTGGAGAGTTCACAAAGGATGCAGATGATGCAAATAAGCTGAATCGCATTCTTCAGCTCACTGGATTCAGTGATCCTGTATATGCTGAAGCATATGTGACAGTAAATCATTATGACATTGTCCTTGATGTTACTGTCATCAACAGAACCAAGGAGACTCTTCAAAATTTGTGTTTGGAGTTGGCAACCATGGGCGATCTCAAACTTGTTGAGCGTCCGCAAAACTATACCCTAGCTCCAGAGTCAAGCAAACAGATTAAGGCAAACATCAAGGTGTCTTCAACTGAAACAGGGGTTATATTTGGTAACATAGTCTATGAGACATCTTCAAACGTGCTTGAAAGAACAGTTATTGTTCTCAATGACATCCATATTGATATCATGGACTACATCTCTCCTGCATCTTGTGCTGATGTGGCATTTAGAACTATGTGGGCTGAGTTTGAATGGGAAAATAAGGTAGATGTTTCCGTTGAATCTATATATGGAGTTAACTGCTGTGTTGTCCATGTTCATGCTAAGAGGGAAAAAGGGAAAAGAGAAAAAAAGCTTGTTGATTAGACCTTTGAAAATGATGTTCTCTCTTTTAGTAAGCCTTTGGTATCTTTATGAAATCTGACTGCATGCTTTTAGAGTTATGTTTAAGTGCTAAGATATACTATTTGTGATTTGTTTTATCCCAACGATTTTATCCACTATATATGCAATTGATGATGATATTCTGATATTAGAAATGAGTATGGTTTTTCGAAGTTTGTATGTTTATACTTCAGCTTTGTCATACCATTCATTTTAGCTAAGTAATATGTTGATGTCAATACCAAATTTTGTGGGCTGGCTTTCCTCCTTGATATTAGTGAGGAGACACTTGAAAGAAAACGAAAGTAGATGCATGCTGAGCATTTTCTAGTGATAGATGAGGACAATAGCTTGATAATTAATGACTGTTAGTCAGATTTGTTTGCAACCCCGTACCAAAATGATGATGGAGAATATGCTTGATATATCCTGACATGAAAAACCTGATCCATGTAAACCTTAAACGCAAAAAATGAACTGACATTGTGTATCCTTTCAAGCTAGTTCAGTCAGGTCGTATTTGGTAAGTCAGGTTCTGCTCATTCCCTATCATTTCTTGAGTTAGAAAACGCAGACTGAATATTGTATTAGGTTTTTTGTTTAGTCTTCATATCTGAAGGTTATCGGGGAACACAAGTTCAAGAGGTTAATGTACGTGCTTGAGAAATACTATGTTGATAATTCATATAGACTTCTACTCATATATTAACCTTCAGGCAATGCATCTCTGCAACATTTGGATGATACCCCTGACTAGCGTTTATTCTGTTTTCTAGGTTGCTGTAAATACAGTGATGCAAGATGAGAGAGAGTTCCTGAACCACATAATCAAGTGTACCAATATGAAGTGCCTGACTCCACCGTACGTTCTTTGATTCTGCTTACAGTTCTATTGCAGACTCTGATTTTACACCATGGCAATGCTTAAGTGATGCCTTCAAAATTTCGCACACAGTTTAGGACAATTGCTATTTTATATGTGCCTGTGTCTGCCATCGGGATAAAAAATCCTCAAATTTTAGTTTCACAGCTGCAGTCTTGCTTCTAAGGAATTAAATCAAGCTGACTTATTTGAAACTGACAGTAATAGAACCTGTTGCAAAATTATAGAAATGTTTTTGTGCCCTACTAGAAATTTGTAGTCAAGCTGACTTTTTGCACTTTTCAAATGCCTTTTCAAATGTCAATCTATATGTTTGTTTTATGAAGTTGAATATTAACATCGCTATTGTGAAATTGCGGGGAAAACTTATTTTTAATCCTTTTTTTCTTTTTAATTTAATGTTAATGACTAGATTCACTTTGACAATTTTTTTCTTCAACAGATAATGACATCATTCTAATGAATAGCGGAGTTTTAGGGTTCTCTAGGATCATGCGTAACTTATTGATCTAGAGATATTATTATATCTTGGATTCACTGGCAACAATAAAAAATATGGACTTGCATCTGACAAGATGAAGACCCATGCATTGAGATAACCAGTTTATTGATGCTGCTTCCCTATTTTCTCTTGCTTTGCGATTTCAGATCAGCGTTGGAAGGGGATTGTGGTTTTCTAGCTGCAAATCTTTACGCCAAGAGTGTTTTTGGGGAAGATGCTTTGGTGAATATCAGCGTTGAGAAGCAAGCTGATGATAAGTTGAGTGGATACATCAGAATAAGAAGTAAAACTCAGGGAATTGCCCTCAGTCTAGGGGATAAGATCACCTTGAAACAGAAGGGAGGTGCTTGATTGGAGCAGCATACACCCTTTTTTATCCGGCTTGTATTTCAACTTTGAGTAGCTTCCCGATAGCTGCCGACTTCAAGCTCTTCATATTCTTCCTTCAAGTTCTCTTGGCTTTCGGTGGTGCCTCATATCCCTTGTTAATCGGTTTCTAGCATTAATTTTCCCCACAATTGGAGTTCCAATTTTTTATGTAATTTTTTCTTGGATGTGATTTCATATACATCTCTTAATCTTTCACTCCCATACACATAGGTAGGTTTGGATGCCATATGTTGATATCGGTCAATGAAATGCCAATGTCGGCATGTCCTTACGTTGTAGTTATTTTGATAATGATTTGTGCCTATTTGATCACTAATAAAAAAAAAATGAATGCTGGCTTCTGCAAATTTTTTTTTTTTTAAAATTGAAGGTAGGAACTAACGGCACTACTTTCGACTTTAAAAAAAAAAGAGAGAGAGAGTATTGATGCTGTTGTTTACAAGGCCTTTAGTTTTTGCAGAACTTGATGCAACAGACTTGAAAAGTGCAGGTTGAATTGTTTATTTAGGTGCACCTAGTATTGTTCTGAGCATACCCATTACATAACTGATTACCATCTGGTTCTATTCAAATTTTTGTCTGGATAGCCCAAAAATTCGAAAGTTCAAAGTGTCGTTCCCTAAGAATTTATTTAAACTTATATTTATAAATTCATTATGAGACATTCAACTATGGTGTCTCATAGGAAGTTGCAATTATTAAATCAAGGTAGCTGCCAGAAATAAAATATAAAGGGTCAATATGATTTTTATTCTTAAAGTTTGATTTCGTTTTAATTTTACTCTATAAAATTTGAAACCATTGGTTTTGGTAATTAAAATTGAACTTCATTTTGGTGTGCGAAAAGATTTTTGAACCCTATAATAGTATTTTTGTTCGTGAACCAATATTTTAGAAATCAAAACTATTAGTTTTAAATTTCAAGGATTAAAACCAAAATGAAAATATTTATTTATACATAAACTTAAAGTATAAAACATTCCCTAGTCACAAAATTAATTGGTAAATCACGCTGTAAAGAGAATAATGTGGAGGCCATATAGCAGAAGGAAATACTTTAATTATACATGGATATAGATTTTCAGTAAAAAAAATTAACTTAAAGAGAACACGCTTTTGCTTTGAATATTGTTTAATGCTATCACCTAAAAAAATTGTTTAACACAGTACTCTACTTTTTGTTTTTCCTTGTGGGTGAAAAACGTTGTTTTTTTCCCAATAAAATAAAAACATCGTTTAATTTAATTGCGAAATAAAGTTTCTGTTTTTTATGCGAGAATATTTCTTCTTATGTTTGTTTTTTTCCTGAGCTGAAGTTCCACCAACAGACAACGTAAATGAGGCCCAAGCCCTAATAAGTGCTCCATATAGGAAGGAAGCCTTCTTGAGAGAGAGAGAGCGGAAGAGCCAGAGAGCGAAAGGGAAGCCGCAGAGAGAGATGTCGTCGAGCGCAGCGGTGCCGTTCTGGAGAGCAGCTGGGATGACCTACATCACCTACTCCAACATTTGCGCCAATCTCGTCAGGAATTGCCTCAAGGAACCCCACAGATCTGAAGCCCTCTCTCGCGAGAAGGTCCATTTCGTCTTCTCCAAGTGGGCCGATGGCAAGCCTGAAAAGCCTAGTAAGCTCTCCTTTTCTCTATCGATCTGTGTCTTCTGTCTCCTCGATTGCAATTCTTTATTTCATTTCCTGAGTGATCTGACAATTGAATCGAATGCTGTTTTTGTTTTCTTTAATTTTACATGAATGCTACGATGTTCGTGTTACCATCCTATATTTGCGATTTGGATTTTCTATTTTTGTGGAAGTTGGCCTTCTGATAACATTTTCTAGTGTATACGGCATGAAGTGTTGGATTTTATTTTTCTCTTTTACTTTTCAAAACGAAGAGACGAAATCCATTCAACTGTGTTTTCACCCGTACATAAAAGAAGCGATTCCGAATGCTGTTGAAGGTTCTAATTGCATTTAAGTGGCCAAGATTGCCTGTTCGGTTTTAATGATTAGAAACTCACTAATGCTTACTCCCGAGGGCTTGGCTCTAGGACCACACTGAACAAAATTTTCCGTTTTTTTCTCCGTGTTTTATAGGAATTGCATGTTGACATGCTGTGCGATATGCTGGCTGTTCAGTAGTTGCTGAAGCTATTGTCCGTAGCCCCTGTCGAGTCTTTCGATCATGCGTGTCAGAGTACTATGTGATGTGTCCATTTTACGGTGAAACCTTCAAGTCACATTTTACATAATAAACTTTTAAATAACATTTCTTGATTCAGATAACTTGTTGTGATATGATACGTATACTGTAAGTTAACCGTCAGTTTCCAGATATATATTGATCTTTCTTTGATTCAATTGCTTCGTTTCTTTCCTACTTTTAAGCTTTGATGTAAGAAGCTAGCGTAAATTCTGTGTAACAATATGACATTTCTTGTTTGTTGCTTTTTTCTGAATATTATGCGATATTTTACTTTAAATGATTAATAATTAATGTTTATGTGAGGGAGATGAGATTCCTTAAAATCATGTTTGGTCTACCCCCCTGTAACATAAGCATTCGTTCCTCTCCACACCTTCCATCTAAATAAGCCTAACAGTTCAAATTGTTTTTGACCTTTAGCGCTGCTTTGAAACTTGGTTTGTGCTTAAATTCCCTCTATGGTTGATTCACATATTTGGGGGCTCAACTTATTGATGTTACTGGCTTTGGAGAAGCATGACTCACGGATAATTGCATGTTAAGTTGTTATTAATATATGATGGATGTATGTTTAAGAAACTGGATGTTCTACCGTGAGGATATATGTATTGACTATTGCAGTGACAAAATCTTACTATTAACATGTGAGAATGAGTCTTCACTCTTGATACAGAGAGTTAAATGTCAGGTTCTTTTGTTTAATTTGTGGACTGGCGACTCATTGTGAAGAAAATTATGTTGAAGAAACTACCTTCCTGAGGCTGTCTTGATATATCCTTTACTTACGTGCTCTAGAGTCTAGATTGGCCTCCAATATTTGATTGGTTAAATGCCCTTTTTTGTTCAATCCTCATAGTGATTTATAATTAACATGTTTAATTCGGTTCTCTTTTTGATGTATCCTGATCAAAGTTTTCTGCTGGCTTTTTCTTCAGCTGTTCGTTCAGACACACCAGAACAGTAACAGGGAGTTCTTGGAGTTGGAAGACTTGGCAGGCAAATGTCTCTAAGATCGTAAAGTTAATCAATAAATAGATGAGAGAATTTGTCATTGTTGAAGCTTCTGTTTCTCTGCACTTGTTTTTAGTGTCCATGCCATATGGCCCTTGATTTTGGATTTGCATGGTTGAACCTGTAATAAATTTAGTTGTGCAATTTGCAACTGTCCAGGCCTTTCTATTCCAAACATTACAACGGGTTGTTGTGTAACTTAAAAATCCAGTTGAGGGTGTACAATTTGGAAAGCTGCCCACTAATTCTCCCGAAGTAATGCATTGTTCCATGAGGGGCTGAATTTTGTATGACTTGTATATGATATAACGCTAACTATTTATGTTAGTGTTGCTAAAATTTCTAGTCTTCGGAGCTAAACTGTGCGCTGATACAGTCCAACAAACAAGCTTGCAAGGTTGTAAAGCCATGTAGCATCCGACTAACCCAATTATGTGATCATTTTGATTAGCTGTGTAGAAGTGATTTTTTCATTGTAGTATTTATATGAGAATTGTGCTTATTGGAACTGCTTACTATAAACACGTTAACATAAGTCGGGGTAATTTTTACATGTCTATTTTGTATATTTTAAATCACAATTGAAAAACTATTTTTGAATGTTTAAATGATCATTCCAAACAAATCCCTATAAAGCGTAAAAGCACTTATTTTAAGCTGACTACCATTTTCTATGAGTGCCTGCGAGTGGCTCGAAGCCTTCCAGTCTGTGTCAAGCGGCCTTGCAACAAGAATGATGGCACTGTTGGTAGTGGCGAGCATTGACTAGGGTTAAATAAACTAGACAATTATGTTCAAGATAAAGAAACTACAAAACAAAAAGGGTGGGGGAAAAGTGTACCTAACAAAATGGAACGGTTGTGTTGGCTCCCCAGTACTAAATAAAATGGAATAAAGAAATAGATAGTAAGAAACCATAGCCGGTTATTGTTGTTGAGCGGGGCTCTGCGCCATTGCTGCCAAAAGGAAGACTTGAGAGCAAAGTATGGCGGTGACGATGAACACCAACCACAAAGAGCCACACCACATCGCTAATTATAGCACTCCTAAAGTTCAACCACTAGAGACAACCAACAACAGTCCCACTTTTCCCCTCAAGGTTCTTTTATTTATTTTGAAGGGTGCACTAGAGTTGGCCCAGCCGTGAGCCAGCTAGACTCCCTTCATTGATGAGATGGCAAATTAATCAAGGATTAGTAAGATAATAACATTTCAAAAATTATGTCACTCCACAAATATGTACTTTAAATAATCCCTATCTCTTTCTTTTTTAAATTATTGTCTGATTAATGTTCTTGTTAAAATTATCATTTAGAGTAATAATGTATAATCCTGTAGCTCTAGCTACCTCAATATACTTTGATTTTAAAAAAAAAAGGTTCTCTCTAATATCTAGTTATATTCTTACATGCAGTGATTGACCACTGCAACAAACATTATCACATTATATAGATATGCTTTATCAACAATCAAATCAATTTTGATAAAAATAGCTGAATTTATTAATATCTATGTCATGTTATATTTTTAATATAAAGCATCAAATATGTATTTATAATTATAAAACGAACATGGTACTTTTTTATTTTACAGCTTCAAATCTCCTTGTCTAAATCAAATTAAGCCAACAAGCAATGCTTTTGTGAGCATGATCTCCTTCCCAATATGCAAGAGATCATGATTGGGAAAAAAAAAAATCATATTATCATATAAATAAATAAAAGAATAAATATTTATTCATGTATTAATCTCAATTAATCCAGACTGTATTAATATCGTATTTTGTCTCTCTCCCTCTCTCTCTGTTAATATTGTTGCCAAAATAATGAAATGTAACACCTTCTTCTTACCTCGGGTAGAAGACAGTCAAACCAAAGGAGCAGTTGAAGTTGAAGAATGAAGAACCAATTCTCCTAACAAACTTCTTCCCGTTGTCCAACTCTCACCGATTTCCTAGGGATCGTCTTTTTCTCTCTCTACAGTATACATCATACTTTAGCTCTTTCGCCATCTTCGCTTGTTAAGCGAGGCTTTTCTATATTCGCGGTTGGATCTATCATTTCAATTCTTTTACTTTTTTTTGAACCCTAGATTTGCTTGTTGCTTTTTGATCTTTAAATCTAAAGCTCAACTGTGGAGTTCTTGCCAACAATAGTCACTGGTTATGGCTGCGGTGAAGACTGCTCGGTCCAAGGCTATGCCTGTGAAAGAGAACGGACCAAAACTGGAAGAAGGTCTCCATGTGTTCAAGTCTGAAAAATTCGATGCCGATACTTATGTCCAGTCCAAATGCTCTCTCAGCGAGAAGGTTGGTGTTTGTATTTCAATATAGTGATGTACAATTTACTGTGAAAACCGCTCATTTTTCTTGGCATTCTTCGAGAAAAAAATAATTTGATTTAACAGTTAATTTATGAACTTGGTCCATTGTTTTTTCTGGTTCCAGGATTCCAAACACTTCTCTTAGCTCTGTAGACGTAATTTTTAAGGGAGATGATTCATTATCATGTCAATCCCGACTCCTTAGTTTCATGGGAATTGCTGCGGGCTGGGCCCGGGGGGGGGGGGTGGTTGAATTCATTTGGTCCGTAGGAGATGTTTGTGTCGACGACGGTTGCCGATTATATTGGAGATTGGACCCTTTTCCTTCCTGGTCATGAGGAATTAATTCCAAGATCTTAATTCTACCATCTATAGCTACAGCCCTTGACCAACTTATGCCAAATTTTGCAAAATTTACCATTTATACACCCAAAGCATAGAATTAGTTATTATAAGTCATTAATCTTTTTTCTTCTTTCAAGAAATCATCATATAAATGAATGGATTCATTCTAAAATGACACAACATATAACTCCTGATGATTTTTTATAAAAGTTAAAACTAAGGATAAAAAAAAGAAGAGGGAAATATGATGGAGAATTTATGTTCTAAAGGAATCTTTGGAAGAGATGAGCTAACCTTTGGGGTTGGATACCCTAGGGTCTCTAAAAACCCTCATCAGTGTACTGCTTCTGATGGTGGACTCAAGTCCCATGTTTTGCAACATGTCATAAATTCCACTGTGCCCTGCAACCTAGTTATACACACAGGCGAGAGAGGGTAGAGAAAACAGGCTTTGTAGCCCATTGTCAACCCACAGGCAAGGAGATGAGAGAAAAGGGGAATGGAGGGTAGTGGACAGCTCTGATTTCATTGTCAGGAACCTTCAGGAGAGCCACACCTCAAACGCTGTCCATGAGTTTGGAGAGCCCAAGGCCCCAGTAAATCTCACTTCGAAATCCATACTTCCGGTGCGGGACTTAGGTTTTTCCTTTTGTTGTTATTTCCATGTCTTGTTGATCGGACTCAATTTGGCACATGGGTATTATTATTATGGATATGGATATCTGATTGATAGAAACTTAATTATATCTATGGTGATGTTTTTTACATGGAGCAATTAACCAAACCAAACCCCCCCCCCCAAAAAAAAAAAAGAAAAAGAAAAAAGAAAACACACTATCCTAACCCTTGCCCATAGGGGGAATGGTGCCATTGAGCCAAGAGGTTTTTGGCACCTATGATGATTGCTTAACTATTTACACACATGAAGTTTATTAGAAAATGTGTCAAATATTGATTCTTTTTCCTTATTTCCATAGCATTTTAAATCGCACAGAAGTAAAAGACCATCTGCTATTGATAATTAACTGCCCATTAAAAGGGATCTGTTTTTCCCCTTATATTCCACTACCTTTTAAATTGTATGCATGAATGCAGACTCAAACTGTTTACTAGGGACGCTCTAGGCTTCATGTAGTTGCAATTTATACTTAATGGGCCATGAAGTATATTGAACTGAACAAACAGTGCTAGTAATGACAATAAAGGGTAGTTATCACTTTTTTCTGCCTTTTTGTTTAGTAATCTAGCATTGAAATCCATTGCTGCTTGTGTTTTCTTCCCTGCTAGTTGAGAAATGTTTTTTGGTTCTCCATTTTGTGTTACGCTCATTCAATTCAACTGATTTTATCTTGTTTGTTTTTACAGGAAATAAAGCAATTATGTTCATATTTGGTGGATTTGAAAAAAGCTTCTGCTGAGGAAATGCGTCGAAGTGTCTATGCTAACTATGCTGCCTTCATACGGTTGGTTGTTTGTCTTTTTTCTCTCTTTCTTCCATCCTTATCACCTTAAAGTCGTATTATTGTGCGTACTTGCTGCAGAAAACATGTTCATGTCTGCGCTGTTGGGTATTTTAAATTATTACAGTTGTAATTATTTCAACCATTTTCAAATGAACCACTACGTGTAATCTGAATATCGATTTTAGAATATCAAATGGTCACCATTCTGCTGTTTTGGTTTGTGGCGGAATATGCTGTGCCTGTAGTGCTTGTTTTAGAGGCCCCCTCCCCCCCCCCCCCAAAAAAAAAAAACAGGGAGAGAGGAGGGGCAAGGGGTAGGCTGCATTATTTTCATCCTTTTCATTTATTTGGTTTTATTTGGGTGTCTATTTATCTCGAAAATATTAACAGTGTTATTTACCCTACATAAACATGGTCATTCTTTAGATTCAAGTAATCTTTAACTGCAAAACCTTTGTACTGTTGTTAATTTGATGTGTCCTTATCATTTTCCTAGCTTTTAAGCAATATGCATATTTTACAGCACATCTAAGGAGATATCAGATTTAGAGGGAGAGCTTTCATCTATCAGAAACCTGCTATCTACACAAGCCACTTTGATACATGGGTTGGCTGAGGGAGTTCACATTGATTCCTTATCTATCTCGGATTCTGATGGTTTAGCTTCAAATGCGATTTTGAATTCTGAAGATAAGGATACATCAGACCTGGAAAAATGGTTAGTTGAGTTTCCTGATCTCTTGGATGTTCTCTTGGCTGAAAGAAGAGTGGATGAAGCTTTAGCTGCTCTTGATGAAGGGGAACGTGTAGTTTCCGAAGCAAAAGAGATGAAAACCCTGAATCCATCTTCACTCATGTCTCTACAGACTTCAATTATTGAACGCAGGCAGAAACTAGCTGATCAGCTTGCTGAAGCTGCTTGTCAGCCTTCCACCCGTGGTGCTGAACTTCGTGCAGCAATATCAGCCCTCAAAAGGCTTGGGGATGGTCCTCGTGCTCACAGTTTGCTGCTTAATGCCCATCTCCAAAGATATCAGTATAACATGCAAAGTCTAAGGCCATCAAGCACATCATATGGAGGAGCTTATACTGCTGCTCTGGCGCAGCTGGTATTTTCAGCGATTGCACAAGCTTCAAATGACTCATTGGCTATTTTTGGTCAGGAGCCATCTTATACTTCTGAACTTGTGATGTGGGCTACCAAGCAAACAG